GGCATTGGAAAATGCAAGGAAAAGCAGAGGATAGAAAGGCTTTCTACTAAATATCCTAGACACAAAAGTTGTTTTATCCTCTTGACTTTCCACATCATCATGCTGCAGGGTTTTGTGTCACCCCATCTCAGCCTTCACACTTCTCAGCTTGGTTTCATACCAATGTAATGCCAAAAGGTCAAATTATTCTGACTTTTAAGTCTGTTCTTATTTAATTAAATACTACAGTGTTGGGAAAATTGGATAAAAGGTGGCACATCTTTCCAGGGACCAAGACACCTGTCAAGGATACCTGTGTCTAAAATCCCTCTCCTCAGCATGACACTAATTATGTTACTGATAAAGCTGTAGTTACTGAATGAACTGAGAAAAAACCAAAGTGTCCACAGGGGCATTCACTGCTGGGAAGAGAGGAAACCTAGGCAGTCAGGATAGAGAAAACTCTCTGGGACCTCTCACAGGATCACTACCCTTTCTTCCTAGGATAGCACATCTACAAGGAACCACTGACCTGCCCACTCTCATAGCCAAACTGCAGCAAATCCACTAATGGGTTTCCAGAAAGGTGGTTACAGATACAGGCACAGAATAGTGACACGTACAGCCTGTGTGATACTCTAGGTCATTCTACATGATCAGAATTACCTTCTGCTCTTTGACAAGCCTCTTTGATTGCAAGTCTCCTGCTAGTCATAATTAAGGAAATTCTATTACACAGTTCAGATACAATTACAGCTGTAGTAAACCCAAATCAAAATTAATCTAAGTGTAATGGTAAAATTTCTCCTACACAATTGAATAATTACTGCAATACAACTCCAGCAGGGCAAAGATCAGGGACATTTCATATGAATATAATTAAGAAACTGGTATTTTAAAATTGTATTTCTCATTCATACAACACACATCACAGAAACAGATCGACTACAAAAAGCAAATATAGAGGAATTGAGCTGAGAATCATTAAAACATATTTTTAAATAAAGAGCAACCACATTATTACATATAATCATTTTCCTTTCACATTACTTTGTTTTAATATATTCATGCTCCTTATAAAACATTACACAACATTTTAATCATAGCATTGTTTTCTTTAAATATGTTCACTTCAGTAAATGACACTTGCATGTATAAATTTAGTGAGTTAAAATGTTAGACTGATGCTAGAACTGAGCAATCATTTATTCAGGAAAAAAACTGCCTTGTTTTCCTGTCTGTAAATTTTCTATGGAAAGCTTTTTTTTTTTTTCAGTGTATTCATTATTCAGCTATTAGTTGAACAGTCCTACAGAGACTTCTCTGCTTTTGAATCATTCACAGCCTGTTAGTTCCAATTATTTTGGACTTGAAAATTTGAACCACAGTCCTTCTTTTTTTTTATTGGGCATAGAGTTTACATGAACTGATGCTTTTTTCAGTTGAAAACAGTAAGACCTTAATGCAGATGGAATAAGTTTTGTACACTCTGTCAGTAGCTAATGTATGTGTTTCAACAGGAGTAAATTCCTTAGGTATAATACAAGATCAACGTGAGCACAAGCTGAAAGTCACTTTAGTATAGTTCTGAAGAAGCTCACTCATCTTATAAAGACCATTATTCTGCAATTTTCAAATCCACATAAGACACGCTACCTTCTTTTGCGAGGCCTACGTAGTTATGCTCCCTTCTAGAAAGACAACTATTAAAAAAAATATCTGTCAAGAAGCACTTTTCCTAAGATGAGCCAGTCTTCATAGTTATCTGCCCAGCTGTTAAGGAATGGGGTCATGGTCTTGATATTAGTTGAACAGTCCTACAGAGACTTCTCTGCTTTTGAATCATTCACAGCCTGTTAGTTCCAATTATTTTGGACTTGAAAATTTGAACCACAGTCCTTCTTTTTTTTTATTGGGCATAGAGTTTACATGAACTGATGCTTTTTTCAGTTGAAAACAGTAAGACCTTAATGCAGATGGAATAAGTTTTGTACACTCTGTCAGTAGCTAATGTATGTGTTTCAACAGGAGTAAATTCCTTAGGTATAATACAAGATCAACGTGAGCACAAGCTGAAAGTCACTTTAGTATAGTTCTGAAGAAGCTCACTCATCTTATAAAGACCATTATTCTGCAATTTTCAAATCCACATAAGACACGCTACCTTCTTTTGCGAGGCCTACGTAGTTATGCTCCCTTCTAGAAAGACAACTATTAAAAAAAATATCTGTCAAGAAGCACTTTTCCTAAGATGAGCCAGTCTTCATAGTTATCTGCCCAGCTGTTAAGGAATGGGGTCATGGTCTTGGAAAGTACAGCTCCCAGAAAGTCTGTGTGAGCGAGTTGCCCCCTGTTCCTCCCCATCTTAATGGCAGCTTGAACTCCATAATGTCACCGGGACTTTTGGGCAATGCCCTGTAATTCTCCACTCCTGGGAGGCTTAGGAAAGCAAGGCTGACAGCAGCCTTCAGTCCTCTGAGGCTAAGCAATATGAAAACCAAAGTATTCGTGCAGTGGAGAGGGTGAGAGGAAGGGATAACAGGTAGTACTAAAGAAAGAAAAAATCAAAACAGTTGAAAGCAACTTTATAGGGAGTGAGAAGTGCCCTAGAGTAGTCATTAGTCACACTGAAAGGAATAAGATACGTCAAAAAAAGGGACCGTTTGCTGCAGATTTTATGAGGTGGGAAGGACTGGAGGAGGCTGTTATTCCTGCAAGTATTTAATGAGCTGGCAGATGGCCCTGTAGTCAGGACACAGGAAATGCAAGTCCCATTTCTGCTTCAAAACTCCTCCATGATATCAGAGGAGTCACATTGGTGTGAGATTGCCAGCAGGAGCTGGGCAGACCTGGCGCAGTGGGCGCTGGGGTGGCCAGTGTCAGAGATGCTATCAAAATTGACGGGAGATGCCTCTTCCAATATGGGAATTCCTCCATGCCTCCTCTTGCATAAAGCCTTCCAAAATGGGCAAAAGTGTCTGCTTTTGTTTTCACAGTACAAGCCGACACTGAAGGAGATACGCACTTTTGGGAGGGGAGCACATTCCACAGTGGAGCTCTTTGTAATACAAACAATACAAGACCATCCTGGAAACATCATTATTTGGTGAAGACTTATTGTATTCAAGAAGACAAGGCTGCCTGTGAAGGTGGCAGAAGGTGGTGTACTGAAGTAAGAGGGCCCCTCTTGGCAGCTGGGTGGCAAGGCAAATCACCCAAGTGCATGGCAGAAGGGTGGCTTCTAGTCAATGCTCAGTGGTCTGACACTGACAGAGCAGTAGTCACTACTCCTCTCCATCATTTGTGGACATTTCAGGGACTTAGTTGTTCCATTTTTCCTCCAGCAAAACAATGGATTAATGTAACGGTACGACACGCTCCCAAAGCAGGCTAGTCTTCAGTCTTTCTGCCTTTGTGCATGCAAAGACAAATATTTTTAAACAATATTGCACCCAAATGTGAACTTAAGGCTAGTGAAAGTATCTTGACTGGAAAGTAGAAAAGCCTTTCACCCCAGCTGGCGTTTGGAAAGCAACTGTCAATGGAAATGCTTGAACATATATACAATACAACCTATTTGTAAATGATAGAGCTGTTCAAGAGAAAGACGGAAGATTTCAGGCTTGCTGTCCTGCACTGTTCTACGCCAAACCATTCCTCTAATCATTTATGCAAAAGACATTCCGTAGGCAGTGCCAGAGCAAGACTTTGGCTCATTGACTACAACTTCACCCATGTCCTAGACAGATGCTTCTGTCCTAAAGCTGCCTAAGTTGACAGATTTCTTAATCTCTCTGTAATGCAGAGACTTGACTGATTTTTAAAACATTAAAAAAAAATTATAAATATTTTCTTAAAACAGAACTCTGTTAACAAACAGAATTTCTATTCCCCTCTTTCAAAATCCTTCCAACAGTTGAAATCCAGGGCTAACACAAAGAACCACTATTTCAAAAGAAACATACCACATGGGAATAGAGTAATTCCAAAGAAACTGATGTCTAAAAACAGTGTTTCTTCTAGTACCTGAAGTACTTACTTTGATTAGAAATGGGACAGTTCTTGGAGAGGGCAGAGAGGAATGCAAATGAAACAACTTCTTAAAGCAAATATATTAATGCTGATATGAGTGGCAGCTGGAATTACTATAACTTTCTCATTCAGACTTTTTTTCTACCATGAACATTTGTCTTCATGTCAACAAGTATGGCTGAGAACTACCACTGGAAAGAACCAAAATATTCTTTACAGAGTTTCCTCTGTTGAAGCTGACAATAAAGAACTAAGCAGTGAATAAGACTTTTGCATTACCAATTCTATTCAGCTCAGTTTGTTAACAAATTCTAAAAGACAAATCAGATAAAGTATAAACAAGTAAGTCTTAGTTACATGGTTAAAGAAAAAGCTCAGCATAACAAATTAGTAGCTTGTTTCTATACACAGTGAGTAGCTATGCTTCCTGTAGTGTTACCTGTTTCCAGTTAAAAGCAGATCTCTCATGCTGGCATATTGAGGATGGGGACTTTTCACTGCAGTAGTAGTAGTGTCTAGAATTACAAGAAGTTGTATGACCTTTCCCACTTACTATGAAAAAATCTTGAAAAATATAATAATGAAGTTCTAATCAACTGTTCTATATGAGTAGTCAGGTCAAAATAAGCCTACTACTGAGGTCCTGAGCCAAGCAGTTTGCAAATGCTTTAACTTCCAATTTTCCATAATAATATAAAATTTTATTTTAGAAGCACAGTCTTTGAAATTATTGACTGAACCACAACGTGGGACTGTGTGAGCCAAGGTACGGTCGTTGTTGAGATTGCAACAGTATTCCCACATCCAGTCATGGCCTCTGCTGTGATAAGCATATAAACACACAAGAGAAAGACAGTACCTGCCCCAAAAAGCTTACTACTGTAACTGTGGGCAACCTTTGTGAGGGGGTAAGGGAAGGTGAGAGGAAGGGAGGTCAAGCCCAGAAATGTCTGTGGCTGATGGTGAATGTCTGCCCTCCACCTTTCAGGATGGCCTGGGACTCCCTGTGCAGCGAGGACTTACTGCGTCCCAAGATACGAAGCACCTCTGTCGGGACCCCGGGCAGCCAGAGCGCTGGGACACCATCCCTGGTGGAGCTGCGGCGCCTGCTCTGGAGACACACACCCCCAGCAGGGCATGTGGACGAAGTCTGGCCAAACCTTTACATTGGAGACCTGTAAGAGAGGGGGAGAGGTTGAAGGTGTTAATGCAACTCTTAGATCCCCACCCTGTTTCCACAAAAATCTTCCACTTTTTATTTAAAAAAGAGAGACAGACACTTAACGTAAGAGACTCATCACAGTAAGTCTAAGGGTTGAGCAGAACTGAACTGTGTAGAGGATGCTGTAGCACAGAGAAAGCATATGAAAAGAAGGTTCTCCCTCCTGATTTCTCCTCTTGCATCAGTACAGGAGTCCCAAACTGCAAGATCCTCGTGGGGCCATGGCATTGGCACTGCAGGCAAGTCATGCCCGAGCTACGTAAAACAGGATCAATCTCTTCTCCTCACATTGCTAGACAGCATCAGTCCCCTGAACTGATGGATGCTCAGCAGAGGTGACTTGGTGAGAAAGCAAAGCAGAAAACTCTGCTTGTGCAGAAATATCACCACCTTTTTATTTTTCATCCATTGAGAAGAAACACCTAAACTTGGAATTTGAGAGCAAAATGCAGGAAATGTAGAAATCAGTTTCTTAATGAGTCACCTTCTGTCTGTAAGCATTTTTGTGGATACTTTAGACCTGATTAACCTGTCAGAAAATAGCTACTACAACTTCATGTGGTTTTAACAAACTGCACCACCAGCAGCATGTTCTACCCTGCATTGTAATGCAGCAGGCAAACATAACCCACCATCCCTCTTCCAGGTACATTGCTCGTGACAAAGAGCAGCTGAGCCGAATGGGCATCTCCCATGTCGTAGATGCTGCTGCTGGGCGATTTCACATTGACACTGGAACCAAGTTCTACAAAGACCTGCTTGTGGATTACTATGGAGTAGAAGCAGAGGACAACCCTAACTTCGATCTCAGCATTTACTTCTACCCAGTCGCTCAATACATAAGAGCAGCACTGAATTCCCCAAGAGGTAACTGGACCATCTGTGCATGCTGCATACCGTCCGCCTAGGAGCCAAGTAGAGCAAGTTACCAAATAGTATTTGGCATAAACCAACCATGTGCGGATGTGGGTAAGATAGGAAGATAATCAGCAAAATCCCTGCTGTAGCTAACCATGGGCTACGTACAATGCCAGAGGCCTGAGGCTAGTGGGGGATCACTAGAGTTAAGGACAAACCTTCACAAAAGCAGCTCTCCACTGTGCCACAAAACTGTACAGATACCTACTCAGAAGGAAGTGACTTATTAAGATAACAGTTACACATTACCTGTTTTACTTCCATCGTGGTGAGCTTTCATATCAATGAGGGTCCTAAAACACTAACTACCCAGCTTTATCACATGCAGGTGTGAGATCTGAACCACACCTTACAAGTCCGGAAAGGGAGAAACAGTAATTGAAACTAGTGTACCTCCATGCCAGAGATAGTCTCAGTGTTTACTGCTGTTTGGAGGGGTTGATCCATGCTGTTAGAAAGTATTTGCTTTTGCGCAACTGAGGGCTGCATTTGGATTTCAAAACCACTAACATATTTGGAGAATTTGGATCTGCACTCATTTCTATTGCAGCATATGCTACTTGCAATTGAAGTCAGTATTGGGTTCAGATCCAAGATCTTTTTGAGTGTATAAAAAAAGTTCCAAATCCACTGACAAAAGACAGGTAACAACAGATGAATTGTGGTGACCACAAAAGCAAACAAAACCAGTGCTTTGCAATATACATGCTCAAATACTGAAAGTTATGAATGCAGAACAAGTTAGGGCAAACACAAAGAACTCACCATGTCTTGAGTGCATATTTATTCCTACTTCTATGATTTTCGATATTGCTTTACTGAACTCCATATGGAAGCAGGGTTCTGGGAATGGAGACAAGGTGAAATTCAATCATATACAGTTCAGCTGTTGCTGACATTCATCATTTTAAGGAAAGTGCAACAGTTTAGAAAATATATAAACAAGATGTTCTGGAAGAATAATTTCCTGAGGTACAGAAATTCAGCAGCTAAATACCCATGACCTGTGTAGGGATGAGACAGGGAGGGATTGTTGTTCACATAATTTAGAAGAGGAAAAAAAATGCATTTATTATAGGCAGTGATGCTGAACAAAAAATTATACCAAGTGACAGGAGGCCTGTTCATATTAAATTCAGGATGTAACGAGGTACTTCTGTTTGATTGAGAAGTCATTTAAGACTGCTGTTTAACTATTACGAGCAAATTGAACATCTTTTTTTTTTAAATGGAATTAAATTATCTTTTTCACCTGGGAGGATAAGTCAAAGTTAAGACTGTAAGAGGCATAAACATATTTAAAACTATTAATCAAATACTCATTAGAATTAAGTAAGAACTGTTACTCCCATCATGCTTGATAAAAAATCTGATGCTTTGCACCAGAAGTTCAGAAAACAACATGGACAGATTTATTCCAGATTTCTGCCTTAGATAAATAGAGTATGTCTTTGGTGATGTAAGGAATTTATTTTTAAGGCAATTTCTTCAAACTCAGATGCCAGAGCATGAGCAAAAGGAAGAAAGGGAGCATGCACCACATGCTCCCAATTTGGAGCTATTCCTGTCACAGTGGTCAATGGTTGCATCACTCCTTGAACTATTTCCTTCATCATTTTTGTTGTACAGATTAAGCAATGCATGCAGTACTGTTGCAGCCATGCCATGTAAGAACTTTTTTTATGAACCCAGCTTCCTTGACTGCCTTTCAGCAAAGCCCATGTTCCTTTGCCCACGTAACAGAACTGTTTGGGAAGGCCCAGCCAAGAGCAAGCAGATGCACAATCTGCCCCTTTCTCTGCAAGGAGAAACATGGTGTCAAGGAAGTACTTGCTGTCTGACTCATGCTCCTGCTCAATGGGCAACACCTCGATTATCCATCTTGCCCCTTTGCATGGCCATCTGCACAACTTGCATTTTTCTGGAGTGAAGCTAAACATAAGCATAAATCAGCAGGGTTTGGTAAAGCCTAGCAGAAGAGGGAGCGAAAGAGAACTTGAGAGCACAGATGAAAGCATGCCACAAAAACAAACTGACACCATGCAGAAGGAATGATTCCCAAGGAGAGAGCTTCTCCTTTAGTTGACCTCCAAACACATTTAAAACAGGCAAGTTAAAATTACCCATGAACTTCCCAAAATGGCAAACCCTCTCAGAGGCATATCCCTTCTTCCACTTCACTGGAGGAAGGGAAAAGCTAGGCTCCCTCTCCTGCCTTCTTCCTTGTGATGGTGGTTAGGAACGAAGCTTAACTTAGGAGGAAAAGGCCCTCTCTCTTGACTCTGCTGTAGGTGTATTACATACTTGTCTGACCTCTCACTGTCCAGTAGGTGACAACCCTTACCTGTTTCAGGAGGCATGGAAAGAAAGGACACACCATAGTTTAAAGCTTTCCATAGGCTTCCTGCTGCTTTCAGCTGTGACAAAAGAGACACTTGATTAATCACAAAATAGACAATTGTTTCTGCACCTGGCTACAGGATGGCGGCTAAAATGTAACAGGAAATGAGAAAACCATGGTGGAGTGGGAAGAACCCCTGGGGCCCACTAGTCCAGCTGAGTTCTCCTGGTGAGCAGCATCATTCTACTGGATTAAATAGAGCGAGGGCAGCTGGGGCGTTCACTCTGGGTGACAGATCTGGAGCCTGGTCTTAAGCCAAATTGAATCCATCCTGCAAGAAAGCAAGGGCTAGTTCAGGACATTTAGCTCAGTTAATGATGAGTAACAAAAGGACAATATGATATTATGTGTTTTAATGACTGATTTGTTCAACAAGATTGAATTTCCCAACTTGAATTTGGCCAAAGTTGGATGTGCAAACTTTATCCCTAGTGCAAACCCTTTGATGTCAGTAGAGTTACAGCAGGCATGAGCTGGATATAATATCCATAATCCATTGTTAAAAACCAAGTGTTATTGTTCTGCACAAATCCCAGCCAGATGACAGTTATTGTCTGTCTCTGCAAAAAGTAGCTTGAGATGTGCAGTGCAACATTTCAAATAAGGATTGCAAGATTTAATAATGCCAGAAGCTAAGTGCCCCCACTTCTCCTCAATTAATCCCATTATTCCTGAGGGATCCTGTTACATGCTCAGAGAAGGTTGCAACATAGGCCTCTAATGTGGGATCAGTCCAACTTCTCTTTGCACTATGTGTTAAAACAAATGGGTGCAGGGAAGGTATAGTCTCCTTGTGACATGGATTCTGTGGTACAGAAGATCTGGTGATAATTTCCTTGCCCACCCCATGACAGGAGCATGCACAACAACTGTCTCTGTGGATGCCACTTTACCAGGCTGTGGTCCAGCAGCCACGCAGGAATCCAAGCCTCAGTGCTTGGGACGGGGCATCTCTGCTGCCTCCCATGACAGGCTGATGCAACCCGCTGTTATCAAGACAACAGTCAGCCCACATGGTGCAGACACTTCAGGCACTAGTCAAATTCTGGATATCATGGTGGGTTCAGAGTGTCACTTAACCCATTGACAGCTACTGCTAAGAGACAAGGATCTGAGCCTGTGAACAGAACCACACAGCAACACAGCATTTGTTTCCTGACTCAAGTTTAACATTCAATTTGTTTGCTATAAATAATCACATAGTAAATTCAAATCTGCTTTCAGTAGAGCAATTTTACATTAATTAAATCATTTCACATGACTGATGTATCTGCAACAAGCAGTCATTTTATTGTCAGTGTACCTGCATTTATCATAACCTCTGTGCATGATGAAACAAAGCTAACAATGTGGAATAGATTCTGCACATGTGAAAGAGAAAATATACCTGCATCCTCATGGGAACAAGTATATTAGGGAGCCATGCAGATTAGGTCCAAGGTCAATAGTTGGGGCTTGTCCAGAATTTTCCTGAGACACTTTCTAAAGCCACTTGCTGATCTAAGCAGGACTCTTCTGAAGTGCAAATAAGCCAGAGAAGCAGGGAAGAAAATTCAATGTATTCGTACTTGCCACCTCCTTCTCTCAGACACAGAGTTAGATATAAAATGGTGGAGATCCAGTCTGTACAAGCAGAAGCCTGTTCTGCTTTCAACAGAAAACAAAACAAAACCAAAAATGCATCAGGCAATACTTAATGGCAGCACCCATAGCTGTGCTCAGCTTCGTCTTCAGTTCCATATTGCAGGTGGGGTTGAGACTTTTCCAAGGCAGAAGGCTCCATCTGGATTAAAAAAAAAAAATGGTCACAAGAACCATTTTACAGAAGTTATAATCATATCAGCAAGTCTTCTGTCCACCATCCCATTGCTGGCCAAACTTAGACTGAATTTCAAAATATTTAGTGATTCCAAGTCCAACATGAAAGCCATCTATTTTTTATTGTGTTTTGTTTGTTTTCCCCCCTTCCTGCTACAGTTCAAACCATAAATATAGTTACTTTTTCTTTTAGTTAAGTGTGCTGGTAGCTTACAATTTTTCAGACAAAAAAAAAAAAAAAAAAAAAGAAAGTAGTAGTTCTGGTTCCAAGAAATTTTTTCAGAACATGCTGTTCCTTGGCTTCTGTTATCTGGGGTGTGCATTAGAGTGAGTGACTGTATTTCCCCAGTCCCTGCCACTACACTGCAGTTAGGCCTATACTAAAGTGTGGATTTTTGACAGCCCTTTTGAACTTAGCATTATTTGTAGTACATCTTAAAGAGAAATTGTGCTTTACAGTTCTCTGGAAATCTCAGACCTGGGTTATTTGGGTCTAAGTGCCTCTACCAGGGAAGATAATAGAGCATACATATCCCACAAGGTTCACATGAAAGCTACTGATAGTGCACCACAATAAAAAAATTCTAGTGAAAATTCCAATTAGCATTACCTTTTAGCAGGGGTGCAAAGCATTTCTCCATATTCCCATAACAAAGTAGGACTTCCATTCGAAGAATCCCCATAGAATTAGTGTAAGTGACAGACTGGTGTAATTTAACTTGAATAATGGCATCAGTATCTCAGTAAATTCTGTAAAGCTTTATCTGAATGGGAAAACTAATTGAAATCACTTGACCTTCTAATTCTGCAAAACTGACATTACATTGGAAAAACCTCTCCCTTCCCCCAACTGTTTCGAAGCCCAGTCTAAGTCTGTCACCAGAGCTGGTTTCACCACTTCCTTGGAGACTATATTTGTCCCTTTATTTCTACTGAAGACATGTCTATCTTTAGGGCTGAGCTCAAATTTCTCATGCCAGGATAATCAAAGGTGGCTGTCTCACATACATTGTGGAATTCAACACTTCTCTCAACCTGCTGGCCAGAGCAGGTTTTTACAACACATGCTCACACTTGCCAAGCACGTGGCTATGCCATCATTAGTCAGAAAGGGAATAGTTGCTAAATACTCTGCCACAAACAAAATGGGATTTAAGATGAGCTGCACACAAAGTACCCAGAATTAACACTTGGGGAGATGGGGGCAATCAGTCTGAGGTTTTTGGCTGGATCTAGGCTCATAATCCAACAGCAGTATTTTTGTCTTGCTCCCTGGTAATAGAGAAATTAAGATGCTGTAAGCACAAACAAAACAAAGAACTAGCCCCGAAAAGCTGTCTGTTATTTCTACCACCTCTTACATTTTACAGAGAAGCAGCATCTAAGATACTGTATTCCATCTCCAAACAAAAAAGAAAGCCACATGGGATTGCTTTTACCGATTTTTGTCTTTTTCTGGATATAAACTGTACTGTTGTTAAATTGCATTTTGTACACAATTAGTAAACAAGAGACTACAAATGTCTATGTCAAATGACAGCCTAAGAAAATTAGAATTTAAAAAATGCAGAAAATATTTGATTTCAAACTTATGAAGATTTCCAGTGAAGTGTTCTGAAATTTTAATGCTAAAAATACAACCTTCTTTCTGATTCCTTAATGGGAGACAGAGCTGTCCAGTAGGTGGTTAGAAGTTCCAGTCTGACTCCGATCACTGGTTACTTTAATAATGCCCAATTGCTGAGCCACGGTCTCTGCAAAAAGACTACATCTGACTGCAATAAAGAACAAGAGAGTTTGAGAATTTTCAGGCATGGCTATAATTTCTCAAGAGAATATTTTCCAATTAAAAATTTCTCCTTGAATCTACCATTTTTGTGGTAGTTGAAACATTTTACAATATTTACAAGATGCAGGTTTTCAGGTTTTAGAACGAGCTCTTTGTTCACCTTGGGAGGGAAAGGACTACAAACCTGAGTTTTTTCCATTTGAATGCAATGCATTTGACAAAATTTCTTTTAATTCTACATTAAAAAGCATTTCTTTTCTTACAGCATGTGTCAAAACCACACATTAGAAACACAGGAATCCGACATGATACGGGACTGTGTTTCTCAGGCTGCTTCACTTAGTGATTACAGCAGAAAAACCAAAAGCTGAGCAGGGGAAGGGAGGGAACTGTACTCCTGGATCCTTGGAATGTCTTCCTTGAGGCTCACAGCAACATGGAAGGACTCACAATATTACTTTTAATGAACTCCTAATAAAGAGGCACACCTCAAATTGACACCTCTGGGGAACTCAAAGCATTTAATAAATTGTTCTTCTAGTGACCACCTAATACAGAAGGGAAGATAAAGGCATTAGGGAAGGAGAGTGACTATAGACTACAGGGTAGACTATAGAAATATAAAAATATAAATAAGCTAGTGCAAATGGCATATACAAACAGGAGCTATTCTTAATGGCAACACCCATTTTCTCACACACTTCCAACCAGGTCTGGCAGCAGTCAGCGCCCTCAGAAAGCATTACTGCTCTAAGCAAAGAAGTAAAAAGAGCTCATAGAAAACCACAAGTGTTCCCATAACAGCAGCAAGCATTCCTGAGTATGGCATATCTGAAATCCCAAGTTTCCAGGCCCTCTGGTAGTAAGTAACTTACAAATGCTGCTCCAAACTTAGCCTCATAAGTATGAAGACTTGAAGCTTTGCCAGCAAGTACATCATTCCCAAAAACACATACGAGCAAGCAGGGACATCATGGATGGCAGGCTGGGCAGGAGAGCTAAGGGCATGCCATCAGGCTGACAGCTAAGTCCAAACAAGCAATCACAGATCCTGAAATATAATTATGAATGTTCTGCAGCAGCCATTAAAGCTCACTGTTCCCCCACCAGGGGAACACCTACTTGCTTCAGCCCTGGTATCAGCACCGCTTCCATCTCTGCTCCAGCATGACAAACCCCATTTGGCTTCTCAGCATAACTGCATCTCGCTCTCCTTTTTCCAGGCAAAGTACTAGTTCACTGTGCAATGGGAATCAGTCGATCTGCAACTCTTGTCCTTGCTTTCTTAATGATCTGTGAAGATATGCCTCTCGCTGATGCAATTCAGACCGTGCGCTCACACAGAGGGATCTGCCCCAACTCCGGCTTCCTCAAGCAGCTTTGGGAGCTGGACCTCCAGTTAGGAAGGGGGAAAGGCAGAGAAGACTTTAGTGCTAAAAGGACCCATCTCCTGGCACCAGACTGAGAGATGCTGCCCTCACTGAAGACAGCACAAAGATGCTGTCAGGACTGCACTGAGAAATGCCTTGGGAAATGGCTGAGCATGAGCAAACTGGTAGGAGTCTGGTATGTATTTTTTTCGATAAGCCCACTAATTGGAAAGAAAATGAAATAAAGAAGGATTCAAACCAGCAGTTTTGCCCACCTGGGCCTGTTTATTTAATGACATGTTGGGCAGGGCATAGGGAGCAGTTGGGTTTTCATGCAGAATTAAAAGGCAGCACAGTCAACTCGAAAAAAAATACTTTTTACTTGCTTATAATTGCATTTATATGGCAAGAGGGAAAACAGCTGAACTAGTAAAAGAAAAAGAAAGCATGAGGGTTTTAAGCAAATCTTTTAACATTTCACATCCAGCTGGCATAGTACAAGACTTTCTTCAAGTTTTGCAAGCTAAAATGCTCCTTCAGTCTGACATAGTGCCACTAGTCAGGATCCAAGCACAGAGGCTCTTGCTGGGACCTTCACAAGCCCTTTTAGCAAATACTCAGAACTTAAAAAGAGCAGATACTGGAGTTCCCAGGCAGACACTGCACCCTGGGGCATGGCTATTGACACCCTCACTGCTGGTCAAAGTGAGGGAAGGAAGGTGTCTCCTTGCACATGGAAAGCAAGAGGCACACTCAGGGCATACTGCGCACAGCAGGGCAGCAGCAGCGCCAGACAGAAACATCCTCCTCTTGGCTTGAAAAATCGCATTCCCTAAATTTCCCTGAAAGCCAGAATCTAGTGTCATTGTGTCAGAGTAAAAATGAGCAATGCCTCTAACAAATCCAAAGCAGCAGCTCTGCCTTTTGATTACTCTTTTATGCCCAATTGGCTACATTTAATCTTGTGAAGAACTTGAAGCAGATACTTGCTTCAGTGCAATTACAGGCACATACAGAACATTGGCAAATGCAAACAATATAGAATTTCCACTTGACGGCAGATTAATTTGGTGTGATGTTTTCCCTTGAGAGGTCTTAAAGGCTTGCAGTTCTGAAAGTACCCTGCAGTTTGTATTTATAGCACTATGGATGTTGAATAGAAAGAGAAGTATATACTCATTCTGAACTGAAGTTTCTTTTGCCCCCCATACATTAAAAAAATAAAATAACCGAGCACAGCACACTTCCACTGCATTTCTCATAATGCAATATGGAAATAGGATTTCCCTGCGGAGCCTATAGAGAAACTCAGGTGGTGTTTCCACTTTTATAAACATGTAAGTAAAACACAAACAATGCTACAGACTAATTTCCTCTCAGGGAACAGAGAGATTGGTCTTCCCTCCAGAAAGGGACCCAGCTTTTCAGACTGGAGTAAGTGGCCAGAAGGGAGATGATAGCTAATGATGGAAAACTCAGTGAAGTTACAGCTTTCACAGGCTCTTACTGGCTACCACAGCAAGGAGATTAGATTTCAGTGAGCATTGCAGCTGAACCACTCCCGACACTTGGATCTCCTCCACCTTGGTCTGTCTAGGTGCAGATCATGCTGAAGCTTTGCAAGTAGACTTTTCAGTTGCCTTACTAGTCCACTCCCTTCTAGTCCCTGTAACTCAGCCTATGCCATGCCAAATGGCACTATATTAAAGTGCAAGGAGTGTATAAAACACAGCAATCCAAAATCTCCATGTATTGAGCCTGTCAGAACAGGTCATAATTCCCAGCAAGTTCCACATCTGGAAACATCTGTGGTTGCCAGGCAGAATTTAAAGTTAGCATACTTTCCAAAGTGACTGAGCCTGTATTTACCCCAGCTGAGACCTTTTGGTCATTGCAGTGTGACTGCAGCTGGCCAGAGACAGCCATAGATTCCCCTGCCATGTGTGACTTGCAGCTTAGGTCCTGCCAGGAAAGCCAGGGCACTGGTAAAGCAGGAGTGCTGGCTGGATGGTCCTGTTATAGGTGTACAGTGGAAGCTTCCTCTTCAACCTGGAAAACAACCAAACAATGAAGAAAAAAAGAGATCAAAACCACTGACACAAAGACAATAAAGCTGCTGTCCAACCCCAGGACAAAAAAGATTCCCTTTCTAGAAGAGCCCAAGCTGGTTCCATTGCTTTGCATTGTTGTGAAGTTCAGACAGTGGGAGGCAGCTCCCCCTCATCACCTGCACTTTCTCTGCTCTAGCAGATGATAGCACCTGAGCCCACCATTACTCTGTCTCTATGCAAAGGCAGCAGCATCATGGAGGTGGCCTGGCAGGAACACTGGTGCAGGTTCAGTAGTTGATGACAAACTATCTCAATCTCTCACCCATGTGTTGCACTGGAGGTAGCTTTTTGCCCCTGTGCTTAGCTAAGCAAGTGTCTCTTAAAATCACAGCTGTAATCAAGACAAAGAAAATTAAAACAACATTGGGGGTGGTCTCAGGTAAATCTGGTGCTACAATTTCAACATCAAAAGTTGCTGACTCTTTGCAAGCCACCAGCTCACCCCAAGAAACAAGGAATAGCTTCTTTCCACCACAGCCATCCTTGCTAACAACAAGGGTGCTTGTGAAGGAGGAGCCTTCAGCACTGTGGTGGAGCTGTGCACTTCCTACACAGTAAGCCTGAGAGGGAGGATGGGCACCTCGGCCCCCTTTCACAGACACAACACCTGGAGTTTGCCTGAGCTGCAGCAGGATGTTTGGGAAAAAGCACAGCAGGATTGCTCTCCAGCCTCCAGAATTGGCACAAAAACATGAGAATAGTTTTCTCACATAAGATAACTTGCCTTCACCAGCTTTTCCTCCCAGCCTTTCAGCAATGATAAATACAGAGAATATTGCTGTGGGCATGTCTGCAGTGCATTATTTATCCTTTGGATTTGCACTTAGGGTTTTATTTGTAAAAGGAAAGTGGGACTATAATTCTGCTCTGCAAGGAGCCAAGCAAAGAGAGGACAGAAATTTTCAACAAGTTGCTTGGAAAGAGGTGATACCAAGGACAGGTTTCCCATGGAAAGACATGCTAGCCAGCATATTGCGAAGGTACACACTATGCAACAACAGCTAAGAATGTCAGCCTTTTTCCTCCAGATGCATTAACTCGTTCCTCCTTGCACAGGTAACTTCAGACTTGATGCAGCAAAGATGGCCCTCCTGTGGAACCTTCTTAATTCATAGCTTTTGCCCTTTTTCTCTTAAATAAAAAAAAAATTAAAAAAACAGAAATTCTGAACGGGGATTGGAACCAGAATAGAAACAAAGCTGAAAAACTAAGTATAACCAAGACTAACCTGTCAGGATTGAGTATCACGCCACTGGACAAGCCTAAGTTGAGCACACTGCAGAGCTCCATTTTATCTATGGCCTTCAGTGTACACATGAGCACTGTATTGGTGCAGTGCCCTACGTAATACACAGCACCTGTAGACAAGGACACAGGCAAGTAGTCTCACAGGCAGATATCCTGGTTCTGAATTACACTGGTCTATTCCACTTAAGCCAGTGGTTTCCAGTTCTACTTTAACTTTGGCACTGCCCACCAAGACCAAGCAACTTGCTCCTGCCAGCCTCTCCAGAATTGCAAAGCACTGTGAAGTCCACTTGTCAGACATAATCCTCCTCCTGTTATTTTTACTTTTCCTTTGTATTTTCCTGATAGCAAGGCTGAGCAATGTGGTACTGTGGAGAGGGGATTAAAAATACCTTGTGCTTTGCAAATTTACTTCATGGTCTAAGGTTCAAAAAACATATGCAGCTCCTGAAGCCAAGTCAAACAGAAATCTAGGGCCTGCAAGGCTTGCAACAGTTAAGTTTTCTTTAGGCTATGATTATTTTGCTTAGAAACTAGACCCTTGATCTGTTGCAGGAGGCTGCAGTTTAATAAAGTCAAACAATTTGCTCTTTGCAAAGTACTATTTGCGGTAAAAGTATCATTCAATTACACTGCTCCCCCTCACTGCTGCCTCCTGGAACCTCGTCTGTTTATATACAGAAAGCACTCTCAGGAAGCACTCCTAAAAATACCCAGCAATGTTAGCTGAGGATCTGGCTCTGTTTTTCCTCCTCCTGCTTCTGCCTCCATAAAATATCCTTCCATCATCTTCGTGCTCAACAACCCCAGCTGTTCAAGCAATGGTTATTCCTGTCTTGCCCTCTAGAAATTGTCCCTTTCCTTCCTCCTCTGCCAGAAGCCATTCTTCACCAAGTCACAGAGCAACTTCCATAATGTTGCCATGCCATGTCCCATCTAGTGTTTTCTCACTTGATCATTAAATTACAGTGAAGCCTACATCGCCTTTATCAAATCCTTGAGTACACCTACATGGTTCTGCCCATTTCCCAGACAATAAGAAGGTACCAAGTCAGGGAAAAAACAGTACTAAAAAAAATCTTTACTTTCTAAAAGGACATTTGAAGACTGCAAAACAAGACCCAGTATGCGCCACAGACTAAATTTTGAAACCACTCTCAAGGAAGTTACCCTGGAGACAAAGCATCTCCCAATGGAAATACCATTGCAAATGAAAATATTTTCACAGTAGTACAAATAGAAAATCTACACAGCAAAAATCCAGCCAACTGACAAAAACATCACTTATTAAACTTCAGGCAAAATCCAAAAGCACATCTGGGATTCAGCTCACGCTTCTGATCTGCCACCTGAGATGTTGGCAGAGCCTTCCCTCACACAAGATGCCTCTTGTCAAGGGATAGGTTCTTCGAGTTGCTGCAGTCTGATTTTGCTTGTTACCAGTCATCTTCTTGAACACAAAGATCTTCCAGCACATTCAGTAGGCACCCAGCACAGAGAGATTCGTAGCAGCACAAAGCATCTTTGATCCTTCAGTCTGTCCACATATCACCTATTGACCTGAAAGTTTCTCTTCTGGAGGAGTTGAGCAGACAGACCTCAAAAATGAAAGGTCGACTGCTCTGCTGTTGTAGTAGACAAGATCTACCCTTGTGGTTACTCCCAGTGAAAAATTTTTTGAAAAGCAATTGTTGCTCTACAAATCTCCTTCTATGAAAACAAAGCATCTAATTGAT